ACCCTACACAGTTCACAGGTTGAACAACACACTAAGCTACACAGTTGGGAAATATCATAACTTAATCCCTAATTTGCCTTGGTGTGTTCTACAACGATATCCTCATCTAAATGTCTTAAACTAGGCCTAAGAATGCCTAGGATGGGATGAGGATGCAACAATACACTTAGAAAACATTTCGCAAAGTTTGCTGGAACTAGGAGCCTCGCCCGAGCGTCGAGCGGGACTTTCTCCGCTCGGGCGTAAGTCCAAAATCAAGGGCTTCGCTCGAGCGAGGAATCCTTCGCTCGAGCGGTCTGCAAAACAGTAAAAATACTGGATGCTGTGATTTTGCGCGCGATGGTCGCTCGATGGTCGCTCGAGCGGAGCCCTGGACAAAGGTGCTCGCTCGAGCGGGGAATCCTTCGCTCGAGCGAGGAAGCCAAATCTGGAATTTCCAGATCTGCCTCCCAAGCTCAAACCAAGCATTCTACCACTCCAAACTCGACCTCTTGGACCCAAATTCTGGAAAACATAACTAAATTCAATGTATAACAAGTTTCAAAGCTCAATTTATGAATTCAAGCCCCAAAGGTGAGTCAATTAAAACCATATTCAAACCCATTTTCAAGAATATGAAGAACATGCAAACATGCATGGATTCAAACCAAATTCAACCTTCAAAGCTTTGTTTAGCTGGACTCATTTTTTCAAAAACATGATGGATTCGTAGACTCAAGCCTAATTATGAACATGCATGTACAATTTTAACCATGAATTCAACTCAAAACTCATCAATTCAAACATGCATGCATGAATTATGTTCTATCCTTCATGTATGAACTAAAACAAGACTTAACTCTACAATTGAAACATGGATCTTGCAAGAATTAATTCTAAGACAACAACAAGAAATGGATGTCCTACCTTAGTCTTGTAGAATTAGGAGTGAGGGAGCTCAAATATGCAAAAACACTTCAATTTCCAAGCAATTTACAAGGTAGAACTCAATTTCTCTCCCTCTCCCTCTCTTGGTCGGTTAAGCACAAGAAATGAGCTGATGCAATGTTTGATCTAGGTGTATATTGAGGCTCAAGTGTATTGTATTGAGTGGACCACTCATGTGGCAAAATGGTAAATAAATCAAACTATGCAATTGATTAATATTAATCTAATTTAATCATACCTAATCAATTTTCAGATAATTATACCATAAAATCACATTAATTCTGAGGATCATGGAACATCAATCGGTTTCTAATTCGGCCGCCGATATGGCCTTCAATTAGCAGTTTAAACATATAAGCATGAACAGATAATCATACAGTCAAACAGATAGAATGCAATTTAACTAACATATACTCAATCAATTCGGTTTCCAATTTCAGTCAGTCAGTTCAGTACTTGAATCAGTTCAATTATCAGTCATAATCAATTCAGTTTAACGGTAATCGATGGTTATCGGTAATCAATCAGTCATCAGTCGGTAAACAGTATGAGGGTTTGTTACAAGTAAACAAAAAGAAATTAATTATGGCTAAAGAAATGTTATTTGACAAAATGTTGTGGCCACAATTGGTATTAGTCATTTCTTCTTTATACTTCAAAAACAAGTTTTGAAGTCTAATTTTATTTAGGCAAATTAGTATTGTGATTATATTCACAAAGTAATTTACATCTTATTAGTTAGTTCAAGCACGCCAATTAATGATATATTCTGATTTATTTCAGAATTGTAGGGGTGTATTAATATTTTTGTATAATTATACACCAGCAAGGGAAATTAAGTTTCCTTGGAATGCTTAAAATGTGGGGGTGCTTGGAGGATTTTACCAAAGTAACGGTTCTGATTGTAGGTACACAAAGAATCTCAATTCTTTTTTAGGAGAAAGTTGGAGTAGAAGGAAATATGGTTTCATTAACTCCTAAGGAACACCTCTATGTTTATTATTTAAATTTGAAAATAGGAGTGATATAGAGTAATGGTAAGTCTCGAAGTAATCAAAGATTGAATGCCGTAAGACATTTGCTTTCAGTTGTGCGTATTGTGTAAGGATAATATAGTGGAGCCACGAACTACTCAATGATAAATAACTGAGGGTCAATTGGAAAAATAGCGACCGCTAAACAAAAAGTTTGACCAGAGAACAAATAAGGGAAAGTTCATCGAGGGGAATGTGATTAAAGTCTATTACATCAAAGTCATCATAATGGTAACCCTATTTAGATGACTGGAGATTCCAAGAACTAAGTTTAAAGGGACAACTAAGTTATGTGTGGCTTGCTAGAAACACTAAAGGAGTCTAACTTTATCCATTCCTATGATGAGAGTGATATTTGCAACATGTGTTGTATGCAGGGAACTTCGGATAAGCTATGCTTTGACTTTCATTCTAAACCCCTTTACGCTTTATGTTATTCACTGGGCTTTAGCTCACTGCTCATATATATATGTAGGTGTTCAGGCACCAGACCGCAGCTAGAGGCGTCAGTTAGACTCCAGTTTTGTCAAGCCAGCCTTTGTGCCTCACTGCGAGGTTCCGAGTTGCCATGCTATGGCTTTGGGGTGTTTTGTTTGTTTCCCCCGTCTGTCTCCATACTGTTTGGATTACTGGATAGACTGTCAGTTACTAACTGTACTGTTATCAAGGGATTAGGTCCTTGTACTGTGTGACTGTAAATTTTGTATAGACTGTACTGTTCGTATATGTATGAATGCATGAAAAATCTTTTTGGCATACAGACTGTCACAGCTCATTGGACATTGTTTAATTACTGTATTGGCTTCCGCCAGGCCCTGTACTCTGTTTTACTGTATTACTGTTAAGCAGGCCTTCGGTAATCTCGGATTACTAGCCGGTTACGGTGCTAAACCCATAGGGCCGGGTTTGGGTCGTGGCATTACTGCAACCCTCCAATCTCAACATAGAATATAAATGTCACTGTATAAATACATTTATATCTTATTTGTCTTATCCAATATTGGTGACTATGTCGACAATTACCAAAGTGTCTTTTACCTATGAAATATTTTAACTCATATAATATTTCATTACAGAGTTATCAGTCACCACACCAATTTTAGTCATTATTCCAAAGAACAGTTAGAATCTCTCTTATGTCAAAACACATAGGTTCAGATTTTTATCAACACTTTGATAAATAATTGACATCCATTTATAATACACCACATGCCAAATTGATATTAATGATATCATATTAATAAAATAAAAAAATGATGCTATTAATTGCCAACTCTACAACATATGTAGACATAGACAAGATTGACAAGTCAATCATAATCATAAAGATGCTGTTTTGAAGTGTGAACCGTTTCACAATTGAACCAGTACAAAACTAGTACAGATCCGTTTTACTTAACATCTCGAATGGTTTTGGTGAATTTATGCCTTATCGGAATTTATAAAAACAGTGTTTCGGTTTCTAATTCCTTTTCTATTTGTTGCCATAGAAAGCCTTATTCTCTTACTCCACCGATCATCATGATAGACACCAAGTGTCATTGTTAAACTCAGTCCTATCCTCACCAGGAACCAACTAATTTCCAAATCTCCGATCTGAATTTCTCCAAAGAAATTCCAAGAACTGTCATAGGGAAGATTAGCAGTTTAGAAACAATTTGGTGCAAGAATGGCATAATATAAGCCATCTAGCGAAGAGGGACGAAGAACAGAGTCGAAGACCACCACTCCCACATTGCATCTGACTTAACGTGCACTTCTCTCGCCCTTCGTACAACACATAATAGCAAACGGCACAAATATTCGAAAGGGCCAAACAAGAGAACTCTCCTAGTAAACTAATCTTGGTCTGGGTGAACTCATCATCATGACTTCCCATTTTTAAGTGATTTTAATTCTAAAGAAAATATGATAGGTCCAAGCACCAATTCTAGTGCAAAATTAAAGACACCATTTGGCAGCTTTCAACATTCACGCATGGCAACCGTCATCTTCTTACGATCACAGATTGAAAATTATACCCTAAACACATCCAACTCTACCAATGGATTAATGTTAACATAAAAGTAGTTCATGTCGAGAAAAATCAAAATTATATTTTCCCAAAAACCATAAACATTAACGGAGCTGTCTTAAGATTGTTAGAAAAATAGTACCAAACTATATAGAAAATATAATTTAAAAATATGTAAACGGTTTTTGGGCAAAACTAAAACTGAAATAAATTGACAAAACAATGTAACATAACTTACAGCACATAAATAGATAAAAACAAAATCAAATTGAGTGTGTGACACTTCTTCCTTAAGACAGATTCATCTTCCTACCGTTGCTTAGGATTCAATGGACGTCTATCTCCCAGGATACAACGATCAATGTCTTGCACTAGCAGCACTACTATTACAAGCCTAGCGAACTTCGCTATGCATGTACTCCCTTCATAAGAAAATTAGACTCAGAAAATATAAAGAATAAATGCAAAGTGAAGAAGAAGAAAATTGCAATTCCCTTCCAAATTAAAGTGAGGGGGATAGAATTTATAGATTCTTCCATGACTCTTTAAAAAAGTTGTGACTCTTCAAAATGACACACCCTTCTATGTCAAAAGACACAACTATTAGAGTAAATTTAATTCAAATTTTTCAATATTTCCCTTACTAATCGAGATTGCAACTCTCTCTCATCATGACCCCCCCTCTCCAGCCACCACTATGACCACTTGTCCCCAATCCCACCACCACCACTACCACAACCAAAAAAAATAAATAAATAAATAAATAAAAAATAAAAAAAGAAAATAGAGAGAGAAAAAGATTATAATAATAAAAATGAAAATATTGAAGGTGTATGGACATATTTTTTGTAATATAAAATATGATACACTGATTAAAGCTCGCACACATCAAAATCAAATATAGAATCTAACTTTTCTTAGAAAAGCACCCACCCACCACCGTTAATAAATAAACAAACAAATATCCCTGCATTATAACAAGCACCCAAACTATATATATATATACATATAGAGAGAGAGAGAAGAGTATCTTCCCAAAACGACGTCGGAAGATGGACATCTCCGTACGTCAGTCTAAGTAGGACGACCTCCCAACGATTAACCGAAACATTCACATACTAGAATCGTTTTGAAGGTGGTGGTTGTTGTTGTTACTATGGAAAAAGAAACCACCGACAAACAGTGGCCGCCGCCGCCGATCATCCTTCCTCGTTAACGGTCCAACTCCGACCCGGATCTAACCAAATCAACGGTCAGAGACTGTGGGGCCCTCCAGATGAAAAAGTTTTCTGATTCTGATACGCAATTACATATACCTAACTAGTAGCAGCCCACAACGACTTTCATGGGGATTGGCGCCACTCTCAATCCCCTGTGGCATTCAAGTGCTTTCTTGCGATTCGCTGTCGGGTCTGTATAAATTAATGTGTATATATAGATATAAATTAATTTCTTTTTCTCTGATTTCTAAAATTGGGTCGGTTGATTCAGTGGCTCTAATTGATTTTTGTGAATTCCATTTATTGTTTCTCTCTCTCTCTTTCTCTCTTTTTGATTCGAGTGTTATCTTTGTATTATAAAGAGGGAGGGAGAGAGGAGAGAGAGAGAGACGCTGGCTGTGACATATATAATTGAGGTGGAGGAGGAGGAAGAGGAAGAGAGGACACCGCTCTTGAGAAGAGAAGAGCAAGAGGTCGTATCAATGGATACCTACGACGATGATTCTCGCCCTCGCAAACCCGTCTCTGATCAAAAGTCAGGCCCTGAAATTCCCGACACCGCTCACCTCATCAGCCGTGGTCTCTCTTTCTATTCTTCCTATTTCAATTCCCAATATTTGTTCAAATACACATATATATGTATGATGTAGAATGGGTTTTTGAAAGATTCTTTTTTTTTTTTTTTTTTTTGTGTCTGGGTCATTTTTTTTTTTAATATTCTGTATAGTGAAATGTTTGGATTTTATTCAAGTTTTGGAAAATGGAACGAGTAATTTTGAGTTTTATGCGTCAATTTTCGGTTTATAAATAAATCATTTTGTGTGCTTCAATAAGAGAGAATTTTGGTTTAGGTTAGTTTTTGCATGGCAGAGGACTAATTTAATGTGGAGAAATTGGGTTCTGGTTTGGCTGTTAATCAATGTCTGTATGTAGTATGATTGTTGGTGTATGAGAAATTAATGGGTATTTTGTGTTTGTTCAATGAGAAATTTCAGGTCCTATTGGGTTTGCATCTAGAATTTTGAAGGAATTTAGTATTTAGTGCAGTTAATTGTTTTGCCGCTCATGGTTTATTATTAGTTTTTGCCGTATCATGGTTCTTGACACTTCCCTCTATTGTTTTTTAGAGAGAGAGAGAGACTTGTTTGCGGTAATTTGCATGAGAAATTAATGTGTCTTTTTGTTTTGTTCACTTAGTAATTTCATCTCCTTGATGGTTTGCATCCAAAATTTCAAAGGAAAGTTGGTATGTAGTCCGGTTAATCGTTTGCCGCCCATGCTTATTCATAGATTTTCAATAACATGGTTCGCCCCTTCTCTTTCAGAGAGACAGAGAGAGAGGCCTCCACTTGCGGGTAATTTTATTGAGGAATTAATGGTCTTTTGTTTTGTTCACCGAGTAATTTCAGTTCCTAGAGGGTGTATTTTTTTTTTTTTTTTATTATGGGTTTCTAGAGGGTTTGCATCCTGAATTTCAATGGAAAGTTAGTATGTAGTTTAGTAAATTGTTTGTCATTCGTGGTTGTTCATTGTTTTCAATATCATGGTTCTTGACACTCCCCTCTATCTCTGAGAGAGAGAGAGAGAGAGCTGTTAGTGGGTAATTTTTACACTTATCTGCTTCATTATACTTAAGTTACTTTCATATATGATTTTTATCATTCATGTTTAATTTTATGCTTTTTTGGGGATTTTTTAGATTCTTGGTTTCAAGTCGGTTTTGTCCTCACAACCGGCATCAACAGTTCCTATGTACTGGGATATTCTGGGACAATCATGGTTCCCCTTGGATGGATAGCGGGCGTTGTTGGTTTAATTGTTGCGACAGTGGTGTCTCTGTATGCAAATTCTCTGATCGCTAAGCTCCACGAATTTGGGGGCAAAAGACATATCAGATATAGAGACCTTGCAGGATTCATATATGGTATGAGCCACCAAAACAAAGGGGGAAACTATTTTTAAAATTAATCTCATCCCATTTGTTGTTTGGTTGCTTAGAAAACTAGTATGATTGACTCTGCTGCTTTTGCTTATTAGGTATTTTGTTGTCACAGGTAGCAAAGCTTATTCGCTTACATGGGCTTTGCAATATGTGAATCTTTTTATGATTAACACCGGATATATCATTTTGGCTGGTCAGGCACTAAAGGTTTGTAGAATTGTTTGATTATTATTTATTTATTTGTTTTCTAGACAAGGATTGAGCATATGGAAGACATATTTTACCAGCATTTCATATTTTCTGATAGGAAAATGCTAACCACCGCCCTTAGGGCGTTGATCAAGGTTGAAAAATATATAAAAAGTATATAAATAAATAAATATATATATATATATAAGTGTATAGGAATAAGTGAAATCTGCCTTGAAGTTTTAAATTTCTTGTCTTTATTTTACTCTTAACCAATGCCCTAAAGGTGGTGGATAGCAATACTCATTTCTGGTATTAATGATTTTTTTTTTTTTTTATCTATTTGTTTGTTGTAGTCAAAATCTGTATTTCATTGAACTATTATAAAGATGAACATGTAAACGGTTTTCACAAGCCTCAATTGTTCTTCAACAATTAAAACTTTGTCCTATGAATTTGAAGAAATAGATAATTTAATTTTTTTTTTTGGTCGAAGCTGTATGAAGCTTTTTCTAAGTTCATTAATTTGTACATTTGTTGCACAGGCAGTCTATGTGCTTTTTAAGGACGATAATACCATGAAGCTCCCATACTTTATTGCAATATCGGGGGTTGTGTGCGCCATGTTTGCCATTGGGATACCCCATTTGTCAGCTCTGAGGATTTGGCTCGGATTTTCAACATTTTTCAGTTTAGTGTATATTGTCATAGCAATTGTGCTGTCAGTTCAAGATGGTAAGATTTCCTTCTGTTATAATGTCATTGATGCGAGAGTTTATTTAGAATACCATGCACTCTATTTTAACTTTTCCAAGGAAGAAAAGCTCTAATTAGTTGTTAGTATTTTCACAAATCTATCACTTTTTCTGCCTCTTTTTTTTAAAAAAAAAAATAGAAAACACCAACTTATTGTCAAATATGATTCTTTGTGTACATAGTTTTGAGGTTTGATTTAAGATGGATTTGGGGATGTTGGGATTATTGCTTGCACTAGTTTGAGTAGATTTTCCCCAAATTTTACTAAATCACTATTATCAAATCTTTTTTGTCCCTGTGCTTGTTTAGACTCTCGCTGCATTCAATTAGATCATCATAAACTAATATTACTAGCTCAGCTAAATCCTTTTATGGTATCCAATTTACATTAACACTGTCTCCGTCATTTCAGGAATCAAAGCTCCAGCAAGGGATTATAGTATCCCGGGAACACCAACAAGCAAGATCTTCACAACAATTGGTGCAGCTGCAAATCTTGTTTTTGCATTCAATACAGGAATGCTTCCAGAGATACAGGTAAGCCAGAGGAGATCCATGAATTTTACAATGACAATGAACATGTTCTTTGACCTCTTACGGTAAATAAAAGAATGATGCATAATCTCTATCGCATTATGCATTTAAATACGTGCAATCTGCTTGTGCTATATGTCACTGACAATATTTTTCCTGACTCGTATATATATATTTGGCAAAATTAGTGTTTATTTTTCTTCTAAAAACAGATTTGTACTTCTGTTTAGAATATTATTGATCACCTTGAACACCATGGCTGACCTTATGGTGGCAAAATATGCAAACTAACAAGCAGTATTCGTGTTTTTCTTCTTTTGGATTGAGGATCTTTGTATTGAAGTTTCACTGGAAGACAAACACTGAATTATTTACTTAAGTTACTTGGGCCTGTTTGGTTGTTTTTTTTGTTTTCTGTTTTCCATTTTCTTTTTCCAAAAAACTTGTTTGGTGAATTGTTTCCAATAAAATATCCTGAAAACAACCTACCTTTTAGGAAACATGATCAAATTTTTGAAATGTGCTTTCACACAAGAATAAAAACAATATGAAAATGCTGGGTGTTCTTATACTTTGCAATGTCTTTTTTTCCCAAAACATGAAAACTGAAAACGGAAAAACAAAAACAAAACCAAATATGCAAAGTGCTTTGCTTTCCACTGCTTCTGTTGATAGAAGCTTGATACCTATTAGTTAATTTTGAAAATTAAAAGAAAAAAATCAAAACATTATTATTCCCTTCGAATTTCTGAAGGGTCCTGCTTGTTGTGGAGGACACAGGCAATATGTGAAATTTCTTGCTTTCTTTTACATTCTCAAAATTAATGATTATATTTTTTAAACAGGCAACTGTGAGACAGCCTGCCATTAAGAACATGATGAAAGCTCTCTACTTTCAGTTCACCGTAGGAGTTTTGCCAATGTATATTGTTACTTTCGTGGGTTACTGGGCTTATGGATCGAGCACATCGACTTATTTGCTCAACAGTGTTAATGGTCCAGTTTGGGTGAAGGTGTTGGCCAACATTTCTTCCTTCTTGCAAACTGTCATTGCTCTCCATGTATGTTTCTTCTTTCATTCAATTTTGTGGTTTTTATTTTATTTATTTATTACTATTATTATTACAGTGGCCATCTCTTGTTTTTTTGTCTTTCTTTTTTATAGAAAAACCTAGAGAGCCTGAAAAAGTAGTTTGAAAAGTTACCTGAAAATGTAGTGTGTGATGTAGATTCAAACTTAGTGTGGTGTGGCCTATATCCAATTGAATCTAATCCAAACATTTCCGCTCCGTGTGTTTCGGCGAAGAATGTTTTCGTAAAAATATTTTCCTCATTTTCTAGCATTTTATGGATTAAACTCTTACCAATGCCACCACCATCACCACCTGCACCAACCGAACTACTACCACCACCATTACCACCATACTGCTGCCACACTAACATCACCATTACCATAATCACTAGCACATTAGTTTCAAAGTCATAACCAAACATTAGAAAACACTATCTAAGAAGATGATTTTCTGCAAAATGTTCATGGAAAATGTTTTTGCTGAAACAAACAGAGCATTCTTTTCTTGGCAACTTTTCGAATACATTTAGCAGGCTCCGTAGCATTGCTGCTCTTTTTTATTTTTTCCCCCCTTTTTTATACAGATTGGACTTACCTCAAATAAGGACCCCAATTATTGCCTTCCAAATCCCATCTTGGCCTTAAAATTGTTCATAGGGTACAAAACCCCATTGTAATTTAGATCAGCAAAGAACACAAAAAAATTGTCATCTCTGTGCCCATTTCTAGGCAATCATACTGGTAAAACTTGCTTAATTTGGAGCTTTTATTGCCTCTTGATTCAATTAACTCCTCACTTGTTTCTTCCTTATAATGTCATTAATGATGACCATAATGTTTATATTATTTACACTGTCCATACTTATTTCCTAAACACGTCTCTTTTGTTTTCTCATCTTCTGTTGCCAGATATTTGCAAGCCCGATGTACGAGTACTTGGATACAAGATACGGAATCAAAGGAAGCCCCCTCGCTATTCGCAACTTGTCGTTCAGAATCACGGTGAGAGGTGGTTACTTAGCCATAAACACGTTTGTGGCGGCTCTTTTGCCATTCCTTGGAGACTTCATGAGCCTCACCGGGGCTGTGAGCACATTCCCACTTACGTTCATCCTTGCAAACCACATGTACATGGTGGCTAAGGATAATAAGCTCACCGCGGTGCAGAAATCGTGGCACTGGCTCAACGTCTGTTTCTTCGGTTGCATGTCGCTTGCTGCATCTGTTGCAGCCTTGAGGCTTATTGCAGTTGATTCTAAAACTTACCATTTGTTTGCTGATTTATGAGCCAACAATGTTTTTGTACTTGTTGGCATGTAGTCCCCATTATTGTATTTTGATTGACAACATTTTAAGCTTTTGTTTTAGCTCAAGAATTGAAGGTTTTTAGCATCATATAACGTCCTCTTCACTCATTTCTCTCCTCTCATCCCCTTGTGATTAGGGTTGCAAATGAACAGAGCCGTTTGTGAACAGGCTCGAGTTCGGCTCAATAAGAACTCATTCGAACTCTGTTCGTTAATTTTTTTTTGCATTCGAGCTCAAGCTCGAGCTCGAGCTCGAACTCGTTAAATTTTTAATAAACAAGCTTAAACATTCTAAAGCTCGGCTCGTTAGCTGGCTCGTTTAATATTTATTATTTATATATTAAATAATATAAAAATATGTATAAAAAATAAGAGAAATATGCTATTTATATATTTAAAAAATATAAATGTAAATAATAGTTAACTATAGATAATACATTTATATAATAGTGGTAGTAGATATTATTATTTTAGTAAAATATGAACTTTTTTTAGTATGCTTATATATATTGTATATATAATTGTATAATCAAAGTTTTAATTGCAACTTTAGTCTCACATGTAAGTATAAATTTATAAATTTTTTGGCTCGTTAAAACTCGTGAACAGACTCGAGCTCGAGTTGAGCCTAAGCCAACTCGGCTCGAGCTCGGTTCGTTAAATTTTTATTTAGCTCGAACTCGTTAAAATCTTAATAAACAAGTCCATACATACTAAAGCTCGGCTCGACTCAGCTCGTTTGCAGCCCTACTTGTGATAGCTCAATATTATGCTTTTTGTTTACTATAAGCAACTATGTGAACCTTAAAAAGATGTACAATCTAACTGTCCATTTGTTTCGATGAAAAATATTCTTGCATTTTTTAACATTTGGTATAACGCTAACCAAGGCAACCATAAATGTGTTCTATGATCAATGTAAAATAAATTGATTTGGCATAAAATGTTTTTTCCAAACCTAGTGAGACAAATCAAGACTTTTGCCAACACCAGAACCATTAGCCATGCAACATTCCAATGTTTGTTTGTAAGGGTGTTCGGTGAGAAATTTTCTAGTATGTCTGACTTGCATCATATTTGTTGTGGACATGTAACTATTTTCTTCCACCTTTTATCTTATTTTTTAGATAAAATAATTATGTTTTCCTCTATTATTAAATGAGCAAACAGTCACATGATAAGTTTGACCTAATAAATAACTTCTCATGATGGAAGGAAGCAAACAAAGAGAGAAAAAAATAAAATAAAATGGACATTGCGGATTTGCTTCAACTGATTTCCCCTCATCCTGTTAGTTTATCTGTAATAAAAACGAGTATGAAAAGCCACGCCAGAGCACAAAGACAATTGAGAGAGATTGTAAAGGGTCTTGTTATCGTGTAATCTTAGAGCACATGTTGAAAAGATTATACATTCTTTATTACACTTCCATTCAGAATTTACTATCTTTTCAAACTTCTTAATGTGTAGACGCACATTATCAAAACACATTGTTAAATTGAAGGGTGGCTCATACCAAAGTCTGGAGTCAAGTATTGTCGTAACATCTCACATCACAGACATTGAACATTATGTAAGATGGAGCAGAGAATTAACAAATCAATGAACTAAATTCTTAAACCGTAACACACATCTGCGCCGAAGCCATTTCAACAATACAAAATCAGTAAATCTATTGCAAACCAGTTTCACAAACCACCTGATGCTTCCACCACCATGATATGTCATGGATCCTAACAACAAATACTAAGAAAGAAAGTTCCTACGAAAGCATTTTTTGTTGTTTTTTAACAAATGCTGCCTCTTCCAAAATAAAAATAAAAAAATAAAAACGTCTTCACACTTCCATCAATCATGGTGAACCTTCATCAATCCGTGCAACCATTCAGCTCATCTGAAAAAAAGCAAAAAACAACAAAAACATCAACAATTCATAAGACCACAACAATTCCTTGCCAAAGACCAGAAAATAGACAAAATTATGCCAGAACCATGGGTATTGTGAAAGAAAAACACAGACACATAAACAGACACAGGTTTGTCTGCCATTCATCCTTATGGATAGAGAAACATAGAGAAATTATACATGCCATCAACTATTTTGAGGAAAAACAAGGGCAAATGCAATGGAAAACAAGACAGAATTTTTATTCAATTATTTTCAATGTTGAGTCACGTTTTTTGTTTGGATAAAATAGAAGTCATTCTTGAGGCATATGTGCCCTAAATTGCCAGCCTAATGTGTGGTTAGATGTCATTCAAGCACCAACTACAAGAAGTCATCCATAGACTATCGGCAGAATCACAAGCAAATAATCCATAGTGACAGCCTCTTAGTTCACATACAAACTCTTTGCTCTATTTTAAACGGAGCCTCTAAATCGGTGAGTCAACTAAATGCTTAATCCACACCCTATGTAAAGGGAAGTTGAACAATTGGATTGTTCTATCACATGGGAACAACAAAATTCTAAAGGTCTTAAAAAGCCTCAGTATTCAAAATCTGAAAAAAAAAAAAAAAAAAAAAAAAACCACCGCGGACTGATTCTTTTTCACTTTCAAAATTCATAGAATTGCTTGTCACTTGCCATAAAAACTTCTTCAGTAATCAAGATTTGTGACTTTATCATGCCAAATAAATGAACTCCCAGATACAGATTAAACTTAACAAAGACATCATAAACAAGAATAGCATTATTACTTATCAGGCAGTGACGTACAATGCAACATCACCCAGACACCAGTTTCACAACAATGACAATGGTATTGGCAATCATAAGAGGAATTCTCATGTACTGGACTGCATAAATAAGACCAATCATCTGCCCCTTGAGCGAATTTCTTCTGACACCTGAGTATTCCTGGAAGCTCCACCCTCTAGGCACGAGGAAACGTTCCTCATTTAATATTGCCAGTGCATTAGCAAGAAGCAGACAACCTTCTAGTAGCGTCCAAAAACCCATTCCCTGCATCATGAACATTAGCAAAATCACTTTCCAATAACTTCATCTGTATTCAAAATGAAGGAATTCTAATGAGTTTACTTTATATTTAGAACAAGTCAATTCAAATTACGCATGTACTTAAAACATATCCCGAATAAAGGAATGTTGAGAATGCATCTCCTAACACTACAATACTGCAGTAATTATCAGTGGAGATGCATCAGTTGTAAATTAAAAAACCCCAAAAAAATTGCACTCACAATATCATATTTCCACTGTTGGTACATGTAATCCAGATGTGAAATTAAGTCCAGAAAAAGAGTTCATGAGCATAATCGTAGATGTAAAAATACTAAGCAAAACTGCTGATGAAAGTCATCAGCACAAACCAATGAATCTGGAAAGCACCATCATACCTAATATTAAAGAAAGTGCACAATTTTATTGAGTATAAACCTTAGTAGCAGGAAACTCCTATGGGGGTTCACTCCCGCCCGCTCCCACTCCCAACCCAACCTTTAACTCTTCTATAGCGCCCTCACTCCATCCCCACTCTCGCTTCGTGCAATTATGGTATAAACCCAAAATTGCATCATGATTCATAAGGTTTTCCAATACCATTCAAGCTTCAGTCCTGCAAATTGCAATTCAATATGAACTAGCTGCAAAAAATTAATAAATACTCCCAGATCTTTGTAGTACTCTTGGCAAAAAGAGAAATGGGCCATTCTTTGACTCTCAACTACCAAACAAAGATGAATCAATATATTCAACTCGCAAAAATTTAAGCTACGTGATTGGTTTGGAGTATCACGTAGTGACGTAGGCAATCCCACATGGCACTATGGGACTACTCAATACTATCCTGTACTAGCAGATGCAATATTTGAGAATCTCTAGAAAGATTAATAACATTCTGTCATCTTCTTTAGGCCAATCAGGAAACTGAAGTCTCGTTTGGGAACAGGTTAATTTAGTAACTTTTTGGCTATTTGGCTAAAAAAGTAGGTAAAAAAAACTTATATGTTTAGGATGACTTTTTGGCTAATTACGAAAAGATGTGCAAAAAGTAGAGAGAAAAGAGAATCTTTGACTTTTTGGTATGAGTTGTTGGCTTTTTGGCTAAAAAGGTAACTTTTTTGCTTTTTGGCTAAAAAGGTAACTCCCCAAACTGAGTTTCCTTTTTGGTTGCAGTAGAGCATTAAACAAGTTGATTATGAAAGTCATCCCCATTTTGTCATAAGAAATGCTGACAGATTCGGACAATACCGCAAAATCCAAATCAGCCAAAATTTAGATCAGACAAAGCTGGCCAAAATTTTGGAATTTTAGGCGAAATTCAGGAAAATTTGGATTTACAATTCAGGGGGGAAAAGGGAATGTGGTATTTTTTTTATCAATAAACTGACTGGAAATTCAGAAAAGATTATAAATTAATATAGGGCACGACAACTGGATCTGAATTAGTCAAAATTTGGATAAAACTAAACTGGGCAAAGATGAGGTATTTTAGCAAAAGTTCAGGAAAAAAGGAATTCCAGTGGCAAAATTCAAAATTTGATGAAGTTTGCAAAATTCAAAATTTCAAAAAAAAAAATTTCAAAAAAAAAAGTGAAGATATTAGATAAACGATTTGGGTCACTTCCCCATGTGTAAAATTCTGAAGCTAAAAAAAACCTTGCTTAAGCAGTACCCCGAAACCTGAACATACCCTCATGTAATGATATGGAGATAAACATATATGAGAGTCCATGACTTCAGTAAATCTTTTATGAACTTATTGTTTCACTTCCAAGACTCTACTCATGAATTTTTTTTTTTTTTGGGTAATCTACTCTTATGAATTCAACTAGTCCAGGGGTATACCCTAGTAAACCTAACACCAAGACTGTAAATCCTGATCTTTCAACAACTAATTGATCCACCATAAAGGATTAGAAGAACGGTAGGGTATTTGGTTTCAGTAAATCAATAATCAAATAACAATCAATCATTATATATAAATAAAATTAAATAGAATAAACAAAGCTTCAAACTCTAAGCTGAAGATTTAATTCGAAACTGTTCGAAGAAATTTAATAAACGAAACATATTATGATGATTAGATCGAAAGTAAACATATATATATATATATGCCCTAAAAAGAAGGGTAACATGAGAAGAAAATAGTGAGACTAACGATGAAACTCACCAGAATATTTTTGGTGGAGAGCACACACTCTCTCTCTCTCCCTCCCTCCCCAATCGATCTGAAATGAAGCTTTCGAACGGGGATTGGAGTGTTACAAAATAAATAAAGGGTTAAAAAATAATAATTTCAAAAGCATTGGGTGGAAGCCATTTGGGGGTGTAAATGAGGGTTTTTTTTTTTTTTTCTTCTAACTGTAATTCCCTCATAAATAAATTACAATCATATTTTAAAATTTATTTAAAATATAAATTGTCTTTTTTAATTTTGAAAATTTTATTCTACCCCTTCAAACTTCTAATTGTATAACAAATTAGTTTTTATTAATAAATTATTAAATTAATTAATCATTTTTAACGATATCAAATATATTTTTTAATTAAAATTTATCGTGATTTTATTGTTATGTAGAAGTGTAATTAAGAATTTTATTTTTCTTCTATTATTTTAAATAAAAAATTATAACAAAAAGGGTTTTGAAAATTTTAAAATTACATAAAATAATTCATATTTTAAGCAAACTTTAAAAATGTATTTATAAGGGGGAATTACATCCCAATAAGAGGGGGAAAAAAATTATACAAATATGGAGGGGTGTAAGTAGATATGGGCATTCGTCGGGTCGGGTCGGGTCGGGTCGGGCTAACACTGCACGCTAAAAGAGACTTTGCGTCTGCTTAAACCCAGCTCGGCCTGGCCCTAACATCGGGTCTCTACATTAGCCTAAACACATCCCAAAAAAATAAAGGGGAATTTTTTTTAAGGTCCCTAATAATTGTAATTTAGAAGATAAAAGACACCAAAAAAAAGGGTGATCCATCAGGTCCCTGAACTATATGGCGCGCATTTTTAATTATTTCGTGGACCAAAATACCCTTCACAAATCAACACAGAAACGAAACTGAATTCCGACGACTGAGTTCCATTCCAAACATCCAACTATCTTCACGAGCAAGAGAACAGCAGAATTAGGGTTTCAATATCATCTTCACCATCGACATTAGAGTTTTATTATCTTCTGCAAAAACCATTCACATTCCTTTTTCACAAATTTCTCTGACCCCATTTTCACTGTTCAGCGTCATCTCAGTTCATCTTCGTTACATCATATCTTCATCTCAGGGCATATCAGTTCGTAATTAAAGTTTCATCCTAACTCTGGAAATTTTTTTTACAATCCAACTAGATTTTCTCTAGAAACACAGTTAATTGCATTTTATTTTAACCTTCCATAAATTCAGGTGTCAATTTCGTAATAAAAAGCTACATGAATTTGAAAAAAGTTTTTTCTTTGTGTTTTGAACTTATTCTTGAACATGTTTGTGTGATTTTATCTGTAAATTTCTATGGCATTTGAATTTCTCTGGTTTTTGCTTGATATATGTTTCTTCTTTGAATTTTCTCTAGCATGCTTATTTTGAAAAAAGCTATTTCTTTGTGTTTTGATCTTATTCTTGAACATGTTTCTATGATTTTGTCTATAAATTTCTTTCTCTGTAAATTTCTCTGGAATATGTATTTTTCTCTGGAAGGTCTATCTTTCTCTGGAATGTCTATTACTTTCTTGTCTATGTCTAAGTTTCTCTGGCATTTATAATTTTCTCTGGCTACATCACTTTTCTCCCTTATGTGTCTCTATCATGTTTAATTTTCTTTGGTTGTGTATGTAAATTTCTCTGGCATTTTAATATTATAGACTGGAATGTATGTTTCTTCTTTGAATTTTCTTTGGCATGTTTATTTTGAAAAAAGTTATTTCTCTGTGTTTTGATCTTATTCTTGAACATGTTTCTGTGATTTTGTCTATAAATTTCTCTGCTTTGTAAATTTCTCTAGAATATGTATTTTTCTCTGGAACGTCTATTACTCTCTTGTCTGTGTTTAAGTTTCTCTGGCATTTATAATTTTCTCTAGCCACATCACTTTTCTCCCTTGTGTGTCTCTATCATGTTTAATTTTCTCTGGTTGTGTATGTAAATTTCTCTGGCATTTTAATATTATGGACTGGAAATTTTTTCTGGGATGGAAATTTTCTCAAGAATGTATAATTTTCTCTGAAATGTGTAATTTTCTCTAATATGTTTATTTTGTTCAATTCTTGGTTTCAATGTTGTGTAATTTTCAGTGGCATGTTTACGTTGCTTTGTTTATTTTATCTTGCTAATTGTGGAATGGAAATTTTCTTTGGCTTGCCATGTTTACTTTTCTCTGTCATTCATTTTCTGTGCTTGCTAGATATATATTTCTTTTTTGAATTTTTTCTGGCTATATTTTACTTTTATATGTAATTTTAACAATTATTTAAAATTTTTCTACCATGTTTATGTTGCTTTGTTGATTTTCTCTGGGAATGGAAATTTTCTATGGCTAGATGCATTCCACAGGAAAACAATTAGTACTCTGACATTTAATTTTTAGTGTTATTTTCTCTGACATTTATAATTTTTCCTGACCACCTTAGTTTTCTCCCTTATGTGTAATTTTCTCTGACATGTCCAATTTTCTCTAGCATGCTCAATTTTCTCTGGGATTTAATGTTGACATCTTTATGTTTTCATCATTGTCTAGAAATGGCAACATGTAAAAGCAGCAAAACACCGGAAACGCCGAGCAAAAAACAGAAATTCTCTCAGTCTTCTTATGATCTAAGATAAAAAAACTAGCAAAACACGACAAACTCCTTGCCAAAATACACAAGTCCAAGGTGATGAAGCAACTAGCATCAAGATGAATACCCCAACTTCAAAAGACTCAAGCTCAAGGAGAGAAAAACCTGTTAAACTCCAAAGAAAGAGAGCTCCTTACAGCATTCAGTACTGATCCAATCTCTCATCTGTTATCTCCTTTTTTCAAACACTTAAATTCAATTCAAACCAACTTGTAGAGCTTCAAAAAACCCCATTCTGGTATTTGATCCAAGCTCTAACCACTGGAAGGATAGATCCAAGGAAATCTAGGAAATCTAATGATGATGTAGTTGCAATAATCCAACGTTACAATAAAAAAACAAAAACATTCACAGTTGGTAAAAAGAACTTGACATTTACAACCAATGACATGACCTTGATTTTTGGTTTGCAATGAGGTAAATGAGCCATGTCATTAAGATCCTCTAAAAAGCCAAAATTTGAATTTCTAAGGAGAAGATTCCCAAAGGACACAAGGCTCACTGGTCTTGTTCTTAAAAATGCCTAAACAATGAAAGGCAAGCAACCAACTGACTTCAAAGATGTAGCAATCATTGTTACATTGTACTTGTGTCTCACCATATTTTTTGCAACAAGTGGAAATTCAATAGGATGGATTTTTATAAAGTGTGTGAAACCTTTTGAATCAGAAACAGTATGATTGGCCAGAAGTAATCACATCAACATTGATTAATTCTATCATCGCATTGCACAAAACTCTAGAAAAAGTTACGGGGTGTGTCATTGCATTGTTGGTAAGCATAATTTCCATTCAAATTTGCAGTTATCATACTTACAAATTTGTGTGTTTAGTAAAATTTAATTACTTTAATTTCCATCACAGTATTGGCTATGTGAATATGCAAATATCATTGACTTGGAAGACAGTAACACAACTGACTTCCCAAGATATGCCAAGTGGAACTTGCAAAGCTTGACCAAACAGCTGCAGAAGACACAAGTCCACTCTCTTGCACCTTGATAGGTTAGATTTCTATTGCCACTGAAATCTCAGTGAAATTCCAAAATTTCTCTGACCATTGGTTTGTTTCCCTCTTTGTGCCTTATGTTGTTTGTTTCATAATTTTCTCTACCTCATAAAATTATTTACTTGTCTATAATTTTCTCTGGCCCATACAATTTTCTTTGAAGTTTGTTTCTCATTAGTATCATTTAGATGAATTTTATCTGTCTTATTTGAATTTTTTTTCTCAGTGAACTTTGTAACATTTCTCTAATAAAAGAGCCTCCTATTACAGATAGATAACAAGGAGCTAGTTAAAAACTCATCAGATGAGTTTTGTCTTGGTAAAAAGGAGAAGAAAGAATCAAAAAAAGCAATTGTTAAATTCAAAGAGACATTAGAAGATTCATCTGAAGAAGCAAGAAATGAACAAAAAGAAGACAACATAGAAGAACAAGAAGCCAGCAATGGACAAGAAGATCAAGCAAGCAGTGGAGAAACAGAAGCCAGAGAAGAAAGTGAAAAAATAGAAGTAGAAGACAAAGAAGAAAATGTACAGAAAGAAAAAGACAATGAAGAAGAAGATGAAGGCACTCAATCTAAAAAGCAAGAAGAAAACAATGAGGAGACTGATGAAGAAGAACATAATGAGCCGATGGACCAACATCATGATAGCATTTGTGGCTCAACAATACATCAGCCTCAAGAATCTGAGGAATCAAAGGATGCTCAAATTGCTAATCTACATCAAAGACTAAAGACACTTTTTAAATCCAAAATGGAAGAAGAGAGAAATTGGAATGAATTACTTGCATAAAAGGAGACTGCAATAAGAACCTTAACATCACATAACTCAGAACTTCAAGAAAGAGACATCACAAACCATATGAAACTAAGGATGTTGGAGGTTCAAAAAGAAGATGATACAAAAATAATTCAACAGTTGAGGTATTCAATTTCATAGCTTGAAACTGAAAATGCTAGATTGCATGAACAAATTCAAGAACTATCCGTCCAACTAACAACACAACCTTACCGAAAACCAACACAAGTTCAACCACAAGGTCAGTGAAAATCTTGAGCCACAAAAAGTTATGTCCTTGTGGCAACATAACTCAGCAAAGAAATTTCTATTTATTATAATTTTCTCTGTCAATGGTAATTTTCTCTAGAAGTTAAATTTCTCTGACCATTAGTTTCTGCTGCTTATTTCTATTGATTTCTACTGCTTATTTGATTTTCTCTATCTATTTGCTTATTTGATTTTTGGGCTTGTTTGATTTTCACTATGTATAGTTAGAATAGAAGTGGAACAACAACTAACAACCCAGCAAGAATAAATGGCACACAAAGAACAACCAAAACAAAAGACAAAAGTCTATGGTAATTAGAAAATATTGAATCAAATAAATTTACATATTGAAATATCATCTCTTGCTTCAGAGAAATTTCACTTTTACTGATATTTTCACTGTCTATAGTGAAAAACAGTGAAAAAAGATCATACA